TGGCTAAGAAAGAAACCCTTCTCTAATTTTTAAACCTCTGTGCATTTTTTACATAAATTTGATCCACATGGTTCTGATTTATTTATATTTAATTCGTCAAATCAAATTAGGAGTTACAGAGATGAATGGGAACAATGGTAATTTCCAAGAAGGTTTTTGAGCCCTTTTTCTTAGAATTAAATCACATTTCTTTCCTCCCCCCTCCCTCCCAGCCCCAGTCCTTAAAACTACCAGACTGAAGTGGATTTGAAATTTAGAAACCAAATGTGAAATAAAGACCCATGCTTGGCAGAGTCAAAGCATAGCAGGGAAATATTCGGAGGAAGTCACAGGGCATGAGGGTGGGGTGCTTGTGAGTGGAGGGGGAGGTAATGAAGACAGGGAAGGAGTCTGTGGTTCTTCATTAGATGGCTTAAATAAATTAACTTGCCTTTCTGGGATCCCAACAGAAGCTGCCTAGCCATTTCTCTCTTGGGTATGATTTTATCACCATCCCCTTGGGTAAAGGGTTTGGGGTGTGGGGGGGGGGGGGGGGGGGGGGGGGGGGGGGGGGGGGGGTGCCTGGGGAGACATGACACACAGACTGTCTTCTTTTTTCTCTTCTAACCTCTACAGTAGTCAGTTCAAATTGTTCCTCCTCTAATGGAACCCTCCCCCCTTCTCCTGACTCTAGCGAAGGCCCCTCCATCTGGAAACATTTAGAATATGTATAACAAATTTAATCTTGTGCAGGGGATTTTGGTATATACACTACACATCCATTAAGCCAAATTGTAGGCACTCCATGGTATTTTACACAGTTCTGTCTGGCCTAGGTTTACATACATACAGAGGCTATTACTGTCGTTCCCAATTACCCTTCTGACTACGCCATCATCTTCATCTTTAGTCTGAGGTCAACACTATTGCTCTGAGAAACTCTAGCCACTGAGGTGATAAGACCAAGGGTTTGTGCTCAAGACAGAGGTGTCCTCTACGGAGCCCTAGAACCAGTACATGGTGAGATCCTAAGCTCTCACCGCCATGACCCTGTCACTAATTAGATGTGGGTTGTAAGCACAGTTTGCTACATGACAGTTGTACAACTTTGGGGAGTTATTTTCCTGAGTTGCAGTGCCCCAGTGTATACAACATGGGCACAATCATTGTTGATGTCACAGCTCTGGTAGGGATAAGAAGCTGCCTGAACAACCCTAAGTCTGTTGGATGGGGAGACAGGCACCCTGAAAGTACAAAGTTTCAAGTAAACATGAGAAAGCCATTTCTGACACCTAATCTGAGCATGATGGCCACAGCTAACAGCCCCCTGAATTCCCATTCTGAAAGCCCTTTGCAGAGTCCGTGTTTTTTAAGGCAAAGGGCAGCACTGTGGCTGGCTGCTCTAAAAGTCTAACTGCAGCAGGCCACTGTCCTTCCAACCACACTGAGCGGCTCTCCCCTTACATAAAGCAGTACCTGCCTGCCTTCGTGCATGGGGGAGGGAGCCTGAGAAAGGAGTTATAAGGCTGCTGGAAAGAGCAAAATGCTTAATTAGTGTTTCCTGCGATCCCCAGGGAGGCTTCTGTACAAAGTACAAAGGTGAGGGTGCCATTTAACATGTCGGATGAATGCCTTCCCCCCAAGGGGGAAAGTACAGTTTTATGGGCTCAGTTACAAACCCTGCACTCAGTAGAGTTCAAAGGAAAGAGAGTTCAGGGTTCAGAATTTATTACTTTTCTCTGGCAAGAAGCAGTTTCAGCAGTCATTCCCTGGTCCTGATGTTGGCCAGTGTGGAGGGATTTGGAACTCCAGGGGACTTTGGACATTCTGTCCAGCTGTGGTCCTTGCCATGTAGAACTGTTTCAGGAGCTCAGAAAGAAGACACCTGTCAGCTCTGAATATAGACTGCTTCCATTTTTACTAAGACAGCTTCACGTACAACCCCAGGGTCTATTGGGAAATACATCTTTCATGCCTAATGTTTATGCCTAGAAATTCTCATGCCAGCTCCAACGCTGACAGACTCAAAATGAATTGTTTGGAGTCCTGCAGGGGAACTGGGCCTGGGTGGCTGTTTGTGCCCATGGATAATGGGGCGGGCCACATGGTCTCACAGGCAACAGTGGGCCTGGAAGTCACTTGTAGCCTTTGATAAAATGTGAGTGTGTGTGTGGGAGGGCATCGAAAACTTCTCTCTACAGTACAGATGTGTGGGCATGGGGCTGGGTGGCTTGTGATGCGTGGAACGAGGCTGGCTAACTGGGCAGCAGATCTTCTCTCACAGGTTTCTGCTGAGATGGCCCTGCACTGCTGTTCATTCCAGGCCTACTCTGGTAAATAAGCCTGCTTAGTTAGATATTCATTTTGTAGGCACCAGACTATGCCTTCCAATGTAACTAAACACCGCCCTTTTGAGGCTACTCTGAGTGAGTTTATGTTTCCCACAATCAAAATGACCTACATTAGAATAGCACCTACTGAGCAGGGTAGAACCTCACATCTACAGTCCTAGCTGGTTGGAGGGCCAAACCAGGAGGATTGTGAATTTGAAGCTACCTTGGGCAATACAACAAGACCCCTGTCTCAAATCCCCATCCCCAGCACACAAATAACAACCAGAGGGTGGAACACCGAATCTTGTTCCATGGCAGAAAGTGTGTGTGTGTGTGTGTGTGTGTGTGTGTGTGTGTGTGTGTGTGTGTGGTAGAGCACACAATGAACTGCTACCTTCAATATACAACTTTTCCCTAATCCTGGCACCTATTCTTGGGTAGAACAACCAGATGGAACTATGGTTATACATTCTGGACATTTCCAGTGTAACATGGGACTTCAATAGCTCATTTTTCATGGTATGGCAAACCATGCTGGTTTCTGACTTGCTCACCTCTCCCACAGAAATCAGGAACTAAAGTTATCGCTCTCCCAACCTCCTCTGAGGCTAGAAGAATGACATGATTTTAATCAATGAGATTTAAGTGAGCATATGTAGGGAGGGAGCCTGTCCCCACAGTTTTCATGGAGGAGGTACCCATGAGGCCCTATCGCTAGCTGAAGAGCTACAGGAAGCTGGTGGCTGCTGGGGGAGGGAACACCATTTTGCTTTAGGGGTTATGGTCCCCAGAATGCTGTTCTTCCTAGCGGATGACTTGACACCTATGTACATCTGGGCAGCACTAACTGAACTTAGTGGGTTATTAAAAAAAGAAAGAAAGAAAGAAAGAAAGAAAGAAAGAAGCCAGGTGGTGGTGGTGGTGAATGATTTTAATCCCAGCACATGGGAGGCAGAGGCAGGTGGATCTCTGTGAGTTGGAGGTCAGCCTGGTCTAAAAAGTGAGTTCCAGGACAGGCAGAGCTACACAGAGAAACCCTGTCTTAAAACCCCAGCCTCCCCCTAACCCACCAAACAATGGAAAGGAAGAAAAGAGAAGGACATGAAGTAATGAAGGGGACATATTGTGGAAGGGGAACTGGGGGCAGGGCTAGGCACTGGGGACACTGATCAAAATAAATGTGTGCATGTTTGAAATTCTCAGAATAAATTTAAAAAGAAAGACAAAGCAAAGCCCAAACTCACAAAACATATAACAACAACAAAAACAGAGTCTTACTGTGTGAGAAAAATAAAAACAGAGTCTTACTGTGTGAGAAAAATTCATTTCTAAACCCTCATTACATTTAGTTTCTTTGTTTTCTGGAATAGGGTCTCATTATCTAGCCTTGGCTAGCTTGAAGCTAATTCTATAGACCAGGCTGGCCTCGAACTCAAGAGATCCACTTGCCTCTGCCCCTCAAGAGCTGGTATCAAAGGTGTGCACCACTATGCCCCACTTCATTTGTTTTTCTAGACAGTCTCCCTATGTAGTCCTGGATGACTTAGAACTTTCTATATAGGCCAGCCTGACTTGAACATTTAGTGATGTTTGCCAAAATTACAGGCATGTATCACCATACTTGGCCTACAATTAGATTTTTATATTATTACATTTTTTTTATTTAAAATGGAGACAAATCCTTTCTAAATAATACACCGTGAAAGCCAACATAGAATCTCATAACATTTCCAGAATTGTAGGAAATATTGTAGGAATTTTTTAAAAATAGACAAAATGGCAAATATATTTTTTAATGAACTTCTCCAAATGACACTTGAATGACACAAATCCTCTGGTTAACTAAAATCAAGTGAGGAAACACATAGATGAATAGCTGAGCTACAAGGTCTTGAGCAAAAATGCCTCAGAAAATATTTCCCTGTGTAATATGAAAAGTTGTCAAAGATAAGACTGAGGGACAGAAATTAGCATGTCCCCTTATACCAGTGGGTCTCAGCCTTCCTAATGCTGTGACCCCTTTACTACAGTGTCTCCTGTTGTGTTGACCTCCAACCATAAATTTTTTCATTGCTATTCCATAACTGTAATTTTGCCAATGTTATGAATCATAATGTAAATGTTTTTGGAGACAGAGGTTTGACAAAGGGGTTGGGACCCACAGGTTGAGAACCACTGCCTTAGGAGATACATTTGAGTTAAACCACAGAAAGAATTGGATGCTGTGGATGGGGAGCAGGACATTCCGAGATGTAAACAAGCATGAGGAGTTGAAGGTCATACACGGTAACTGAGTTCATTTGGTTTGTGAAGGGGAACAAAGATCTGATTAAAAAGTTAGATCAAATGGCAAGCCTGGAATGGCAACTGGAGTTGGGCTGTGTTCCAGCCCATGGGGTGCCACCGAAGACTGCGAGATGTGAGGAATGAGAACAGTCCTTTGGGAAGAGTCACTTTATAGTGACGTGGGAGGAACTGAAGGAGATGACGAGGAGTTGACATGGCTCACTAAGTAGGAGATGGTGAGGGTATGAATCCAGGTAGTCCAAGTGAGAACAGGGTGACATGAGACACATTAGTACATGTAAGCCATGCTGGCTATTGTTTGGATGTGGGGTGAGGTCAGGGAAGGCATAATGCACAAAATATTTTATTGTACAAAATATAAACAAAAACTTCATGTGGTACCTCTGGAGCTGAAGACAGGAATGGTTTTATGTAGATGTTGGAGTCATGAACCTTCAGGTCATGGTCCCCAAGTCCTCTGGTCACTCCAATAGTTGCCATTACCCGGGCCTAGGAATATAAGCAGAGAGTTACCAGAAATACACACAGTGATGGCATCCTGTCCCAATTCTTCTTACTTATCGATCTATGCTGTTGGCTGTTAACTGAGATGTGTGGTATTAAGAAGGAAGGGCCCGTCAAAATCAGTGCTGTATCTTAGGCTTACTATGTTGCTCTGCTGTCTGTCCTCGGGTTTTCTTCTATTGAGCCCGGAGTGAAGAGCGCTGAAAATAAGCTAACTGTAACATGTGTGCCATCTACAGCTGCTGAAATCAGTTCATACTAAATCAAGAGCATTGAACCACCAGCTGTCCCATCTACCCACACACTCACTCTACAAGTATTTGCTGGACACTAGCTACATCCTTGGCACATCAGAGGCAATAGCCAAAGATGAAGCAAGTCTGAGGCAGCTCTTGTCTTTGCAAATCTCAACTATTAGGTTTTATGGCTAGAGAAAATAAATCTTTAACAACATCATGATCTGCCTCAATATTCCTACAAATTCTTTCTGGGCAGAAAGGAATAAAATGTCACTAATGTGTCTATGTCCAGATTTCTAGACTGTAGCCTTATGCTTTCTCTAAACTTATTTATAATGTTTATGGAATTAACATTACATTAATATCTACACAGAGGCCTTAAATGTCTCCTAAAGCACCTACTATATGAACACACCATGTGGAAGGGACACAAGGCTTCATCTCTACTATGAAGGAACTTGGTAAAGAGGTACATATCTAACTAATACATAAAATGTGCTTAAGCTCTAGGAGACACATGAACAGTGGGATATGTGAATTTAGAGGAAACAAAAATTCTACCGAGACAGTCCCATGGTGGAGGCAATGCTATTTGGTGCCAAAAATTGGACAGTATCAGATAGGCAGACCCAGAGAGATAGATTGCCTGTCAGGCTGAGCAACATGCAGCCTAATGGGATTAAATAATAGAGCGCATGTGATGCTGAGCTGGGATTTTCCTCTTACTTGAGTAGTAAGAATAAATACCTCATAGAGGCAAGGATGAAGTAAATAAAAGAAGCATCACTAAATTCAGGGCATGTTGCAAAGGTACTTGTCCCCAAGTGACAACCTAAATTTGATCCCTGGAAGACACACGACGGAGGGTAAGAACTGCAAGTTGTCCTCTGACCTCCAACACATGTGCTGTGGCTCATAAATAAATGTAAAACGAAAAGAAAACAAGAGAAAAAACTCAGAAAGAAAGAGGCAAAAAAACAAAAAACACATTATAATCCAACATAGTCTCTCCACCTTTGTCTCTTTGAAGCGCTGAGGATTTGCAGTAGTCTCAAGTCAGAAGGTAGACATGGTTTACATAGTCTCAGAAATGAGACTATGATACTGGGGGCTGGGCTTGAAACAGGATTTCCCACTGAAGCTCAGGTGGACCCTCAACTCACTTGGATCCTCTTGCTTCAGACTTTCGAGGGCTGTGATTGCAGACTTGAGCCACCATGCCTCAAGTGTGTGTGTGTGTGTGTGTGTGTGTGTGTGTGTGTGTGTGTGTGTGTGCATGTGTGAGCATGTACTCTCAAGTATGTACCATAGGAATATGTGGAGTCAGAAGACAACCTTTGGGAGTCAATTCTTTCCTTCCACCATCTGTGTTCCAGGAACCAAACTCAGGTTGTCAGGCTTGGTGGCAAGTGTCTTTACCCACTGAGCCATCTTACTGAGCTCCATGACATATAAGGTCCAGATTCAAAGGGTATAAAAAAATAGACAGGGATGTGAAACCCAGGGACCTGGGACCAGAGAGACTTCAGAAACCCAAGCTGCTGGGCTTCGAAGCTGGACGTGTCTTATTCTAGTTAAGCAATGTTCAGCTTAAAATGGGTACATTCTGAGTCTCTCTCTCATGGCCGTTCTGCTGCAGCAGCTTCTCTGGGTGGAAAAATCACATGCCCATGTTTAGACCAAAGAATGCAAACGCTATTGGAAGTGACTGAACTTGCTTACACGTGTACAGGTGTTATCCACAAGAATTCTAGGAAATAAAAGGTAACAGCTGCGAAAATATAATGACATGCTTGAGTAGGAGTTTGCAAAGAGGAAAAAAAAAAAAAACTAAAACCTTATAGAATTCCAAGAAACCAAGGAGAACTCAGACAGGGATGGCGGTACCCACTTTCCTCCAGGGTGGAGTAGAGCCGTCTCTATGGTAGTTCTCCAGATCTCAACAAGCTACAACGTAATTGCTTTCCACAGCACAACAGGCTACAATGGGCAGAACTTTCCCATTCCTTCTCATAGGATTGCCCTCCTTCATGAGCCGACAGAGAGGCTTTGGGATATTTTGGTCAATCAGACTTTTCAATTAACCTCATTGTGGAAGCTGTGCTTACCTGTACAAGACCAAGACCGATAAAATTCCAGAGGTGCTCCACACATGTCACCCCTCAGACAGAGAGGAGTTAATTGGCAGTTGATAACTGCCAGGAAAGGGAGAATCTACTCTTTTTTGAGGGTGTGGCCATTGGTATGTTTCCTATGCCCCAGAGGATAGTTTTGTGCCATGAACTCAAGGGAAGCACTAATTGGATACTATAAACCGGTTATCAAAAAAAAAAAAAAGGAAAACAAAAGATATTAAGTTGGGAGTGGGATATGTTCGGGAGAATAAGGAGGGCAACTGGAGGGGAGAAATGGAGTGATGGATATTATGGATATCATGTTTCATTGTAGACATGTGTGAAAGTCTTCAAAGGAAAAATTACTTTTGAGAAATAACAACAAAAACCTCCATACCGACAGTCTCCTAAGAAAGACAGCAGTTCAGTTCAGGAGAGCACGCAGAACATAAGCAATGACTTGCTCAGTATTGACACATGTATGGAGTGACAGTACTGGGCCACACTAGAGACCCAGCTTTGATATTCTTGTGAGTCATTCCTTCTGGAAAAATACTATCTAATACCGATAGACAATTCACTTGAAGAATCTTCTTGTGGCCACACTGTCCACTTCTAATTGAAACACTTAACTCTGAATGGAAGCGAATTGTGTTTGTAGGGTATGGGTTTGAAGGTTGTTCATCTCAGGACTCCCTTCAAATCTGCTCATACACATCTCACGTCTACAGCCTCTTTTGGGTTCAATCATGTCATACAGCGTTTGCTTCTGACAGGGGCACTGGGACCTAGTGTTAGTTCTGTTATCTCAGTTGGGGCACTTGATGATGTAGTATAATTACAATGACACTCTGGAATTCCTTTGTTGGGGCAAGTAGAAGAGCCGACTTTCAAAGTCTTGAACATCAGTGGTGGAAAGAAAGGACACCAGTCTATAGCAGAAAGCCAGAGTTCCACACCAGGGCTGTCCTCTGCTGGCTATGTGGTTCTGCTGGGCTGTTTTAGTCTTGAAGTCCCAGCTGCCTTGTCTACCGAGTAGAGCTAGCACAGCCAGCTTGACTTGCCTCTGAGCTTATGTCAATTATAAAATAGGATGATGTATGTGGAAGTGGTTGTGTTTAAACCTGTAAAGAGTGACTCAAATGGGCAGGGAAAGGGATGGTATTTTCACAAAACTGACTACTCACCCACACCCCTCAAATCCTGCAACACTCTGGACCTTCAAGACAAGTGACCTGAAGAATGATGGATGCGATGTTTGTTCAAGTTGTCATGGCTATAAAATCCCACACTGCTGAGGGGAGCACAGGAACTGCCACGGGCTATACAAAGCACATGGTGCTACAGACACCTCCTCTGATTCCAGCTATGAACTTGAACCTACCTTCTTGCCTTCTCCATATATAAGAGGGAACTTCAAGTCGTCATCCTCAATGGTTTTGTATGCCCTGTAGGGGGACAAACAATATTTTAATACAGGTTTGCAATCAATTAATGACCCACTGTCCTGACTCAGGCTGCTAGAAACCTCGTTTTCCTAGAGATTCTATCACTTCACAACACTGTCTGCCTCTCTGCTTATATAGTCATTTTCCATTCTCCATACAGAATTGTGTGTGTGTGTGTGTGTGTGTGTGTGTGTGTGTGTGTGTGTGTGTGTACTTTGATAAGGCAGGGAATACTAAGTCTATGTATTCTTAAAGAGGAAGAAAGCCACTTATGATTGTGAGAAGCCGAGATGGAATTCTGTTCCTAGTGCCTTTGGGATAACAAAGTGATCTGGGAACCACAGGTCTCTTCTTGCAGTCTGCAACGGTGATAAACAGCATTGCTGTGGAGGTGGGGAGGGTAAATGGAGTGTAGACACCCTCTAAGAGCCAGTTCTCACCTTCAGGGGAGATTTACATCAAACATCTTCTATTGGGATGGCTGGGGGTGGATGATACAGCACCCGTTTGACCTCTGGATGAGAGTCAAGGTTGGCAGAAAATTGTTTCTCAATAGCTTTCAGAGGGCCATTCGCCACAACACTTTATACTTCATCAGTTTATGGCAGACATAGTTGTCTAGATGTCACAGCCAGTGAATGAAACCATGTGTCCTAAAGCTACCCATAAGCAAGTTCAAAAACAGACAAGCAAACACCATAGGCAGTTAGAAGCTATGTCCCTTGGGAGCTACCTTTCTGCTTTTGTTTTCCTCATCTGTAAAGTGAGGATACTGCATAAAATACAAAGGGTTCAGCTCAAAGCCTCTGCTCATTAAGGACCCAATTAAGCGCAGTTATTAGGAGAATTTAGCAGGTAATTAACTTTTGGTATAACACTTTCCATTTCTGCAAAATGGGGGGGGGGTAATCACTACTCATTCCCCACCCCAGAATGAAAGTATGCTGGGGTCTTCAGGACTTCATTAATCAAAGTCAGAAGTTACTAGGACGAATACTTACAGACAGGGTAGGGTAGCTTCAGAACGCACGGAGAAACCCCATTTATTAAATGGCCCCCCAGACCTGTACTTTAGGCAACTGGAGAGTGAAGGTGAAATCAAATTTATGGACACTCTTGATATATAAAAACATGCAACTCAGATGAAAAGGCACTGAGAACAAAGTATGATGACACATGATAAATATGTCATACTGGAACTCATTCACTGCTCGCTAACCTGAAAATGAAAAGGTTTTAAAAGTGTGTGCCCTCAAGGAGAAAGAAAGTGCACCCCATTGTCCAGAGAACTATTTGGGCATGCCGTTCTTTCCCTGGCTGGAGAATCAGTGAGGTTTTGCCATCAGATACCCCTGGGTTCGAGTGAGTACAGCACTGAGTAAGTGGTTGTATTCTGTGGAGCTCAGTATCCACATTGATCAAACAAGATGTACAGAGCTCAGCATGTGCCCAGCACAGCCCTGTTCAGAGTAAAGGAAAGCCATTGCAGTCCCTGGCAGGTGAGCTAGAGTAATCCAGAAATTAAATTTTCAAGAAACACACACACACACACACACACACACACACACACACACACACACACACAAACCATAGTATTTCCTTCCCTTAAACCTATCAAATTAACAGAGTGAAAATTAGGCACTTTGATGTTTCATATATTCACATGAACTATTTTAAACACTATCATACATAAGCCACTTGGGGGAACAAATAAAGCTATTATTAGAATCTAGCCCCAGCTTTGGGATCAACTGTGTTGAGTGGTTCTCAACCTCAGCTATATAATGAAGCACCTGCCAGGACTTGAAAATATCCTGAGGCCCAGGCCACATCGTGGAGCAATTAAAGCTGACTCTCTGGGAAAGAGACATGGGCATCAGGTATTTTGTTTTTAAAGCTTCCAAGGAAACTCTAATGTACAGCCATGTTTGACTCTGCTGTTGACCTAGCTCCAGTGAGCTTACACTGGAGGCAAATTAAGCAGTAAGGCCCTCATCAGTTTGATTATTGAGAGGAGAGACTGCATGGATTCAAGGAGGGGAAGGAAATGGGCTGAGAAAGCCTCTCAAATGAGCATGAGCAGGCGTTCAAGATCCTGTGTGTGAGAGAACATAGTCTTAGACAGGGAAGTGATGTTGTAAGAATCAGACACCGGGAATGGCTGGCCTTGGGATGTTAGTATAAGAGTTTGGAACTAGGAAGGAGGCAAAAGGCAGCAGATCTAGAATCAAGGCCACCAGGACCACAAAGTCCATGTCACACAGCTCAGAAAGACAGACACACCACACTGCCTTTGGAGTGGCTACCCCAGGACCAAGGCAACTGCAAAATTCAACATTATATTTTAGCTTATTAATTTATCCTTAGAACAAAAAATTGAAACAGAAGCAAGGACTAGATGGGTAGCTCACTTGGTAGAGGGTTTACATGAAGCCCAAAGCACAGCTGTAATGGCAGTAGCTGGGAGGTAGAAGCAGGCCGATCATAAGTTCAAAGGTATAGGAAGGTCATCCTTGGACATATAGTATAGTCCCAGCCAGCCTAGGCTCCAAGAGAGCCTATTTCAAGATGAATTAAAACCAGGAATGAACAACCTTGGGAAAAGAAAGAGTTATTCCGTTCCCACTGGTATTGGTTTTCAATAAAACATGAACCCTTTCTCCTCTTCCAGTGATAGACAAGCATCATCACTGTACTGAGAGAATGTACAACACTTTCTCCCACTCATTCTTCCTGGGTATCAAGCATGGCTCATTGTATAAGTGGACTTTCATGTGTGGATAGAGGGTCTGAATAATGACATGAAATACCCGGGACTGGGGTGTTGCTTACTGAGAAAGCTTGTGCTTGGCATGAGTGATGCCTCGGTTTGAATCTCAGTAGCAAATCTCAAACAACAAACAAACAAAACATCTTCAAGAATTAAAAATCAGCAACCAGATGAGAGTCTGTATAGATTAGGGCTAATAATAATTCTGGCAGAATTAATGTACTGGACTTGGTCCTTATATATAGTTTCTACAATCTGTTGGAGACCCTGTCTTACTGATGGGGAAACAGGGTCAGGGAATTAAGTGACTCTCCCAAGATGAACAGTTCTAAACAAAGCAGTATGCTATCAGGGCTAACCTTTGGGGATGTTTCTTTCACTCTGGCCAATAAGTGTGAAATGAGACCACTTTGAGGGGGTAGCCAGCAAATATTTGATGAGGAAAAGAGAACTTTTGGCAAGTGAGGAGAGGATACTTTCTGAGTGGTAAGAGAACAAATACTAGCAGCCAATGAAATCTATGGAGAGGAAGCAGTAATTAGTGGAAGTGACCATTTGGATCCTCATGCCTGTGTCTGATCCCTGTCCACTTCATCTGTGACCACAAAAGGCAGCTTATCCCTGTCCTTCAAAGAACAGATAGCCTCAGGCCTCTTGGGAAGTTTAAGTCCTCATCCTGGACCTGCCCACTTGCAAGGCCCTGGCTAGTGTTATCCTGTATCATCATATCATCCTCATTCAGCCTATAGCATTCATGCTTCCAGCTTGTCCACCGCTCCCCTCTTCTTCACTGAGGGGAAATGAGAGGAGAAAGGAGGATGGTGGTATTTGAGAGTGCCAAGACACCAAGCCAAGGCTGTTTGATGTTATAACCAAGAATGTATGGTCATAGGACTAATTACTTTATTACAGATTCTAAGATTTGGAAAATTCTGTTAACTGAATAGAAAAATTTCAAAACCAGATCACTCACCAGCTTGATCATAGTATAATTGATCAGGGCTTATAGTCAAGCAAGCACTTGTTCTAAGACAGCAGCACACTACAAAAGCATAAGAAAGACTCTTTGTGACTATTTATGAGATGATTGATGAACACAAGACTTCTAAGGGATTACTACATTCTTGGCTTTTCCTACCTTAGAGGCAATACCCTCAGATAAACTTTTCTTTTAAGTAAAAGTTTCAGGCCAGGTATGGTAGCAAACACCTTTAATCCCAGCAATCTGGAGGCAGGGCAGACAGATCTCTGTAAGTTCAAGGCCAGCCTGGTCTACATATCAAGTTCGGAGCTACATAGAGAGAGACGTTGTCTCAAACCAAACAAACAATGTTTCCTGTTTGAGAACTCTAGACAGACACATCTGGAATGAACTGTCTGTTTCCTCTTCCTTACTTTTTTCAACTAGGTTTCACAGGACCTTGGGGGGAACATCCATCACCACTCTGGCCACCATTTAACTCAACACATTGGTTAATCAAACATCACAGAGTGTGACAAGGGCCCTCTGTGGGCTTTCTGATCTGACAGTGTCCTTGAGATTGGCACTTATCTTAAGTGAAAACTCTTGAGATGTGGTCTAATTAAGAATGAAATTATTCTTTTGATTTGGACCTTGTTCTTAAAAGATCAAGGAAACATATTTGTACTGTGTGCCTGCACATGCATGCCAGTATATGAGGGGTTTTACGGTCACAGATTGAGACCATGAGTGAAAATAAACAACAACAACAACAGAGATGGCTCAGAGGTTAGGAGTACTGACTGCTCTTCCAGATGTCCTGAGCTCAATTCCCAGCAACCACATGGTGGCTCACAACTGTCTATAATGAGACCTCGTGTCCTCTTCTGACATGCAGGCAAAACAGTGTGTATATAATAAATAAATCTGAAAAACCAAAAAACCAAAAAAAAAACCAAAAACCCTTAGCCTGTAACCACAAGAGAAAAATTTAAAAAGGTTTTCTTGGGCTAAGTCTACTTTATGTGTATGTTCCATCTATGTTCTGAACATTAGTTCCATGAGGACAATGACTTCTTTCTTAGGTTCTGCCTTCCCTTCATATTTATAACTTTTCAGGTAGGCACACTGTGGACAGAACCCAGACACTAGCTAAACGTCTCAGTGAATGGATGAAGGCTGGCCCTTCACCTTCAGCTAGTGAGTTTCCCTCTAAGACAACATACCCTTGTCTTAGTGTCTCCATTCACCTTGCCTTCATCGGACTTT